CTAACAATATTGATATACGGACCAAGCAGCTCAAGGTTTGTCGGCGGAACGCGACGGATAATTTTCAGCGAACCGGTGAGAAAGAAATCGGCCTCTCGGTCTGCTCGGTCTTTGAAAATGTCACACTGCGACGAACCGGACAAATCTTACTCGTATTTTCCACAAACCTGTCTAATTGCGAGACGATACATCGAGACGAGAGAGAGAGAGAGAGAGAGAAAAAAAACTTCCCAAAGGAGAAAACACATAACGAGGCGATACCGAGTCGATATCGAGTTGGTCTATTTTTACAGCGTTATTTTCCGTCGTTAAAAATAAGCGAGTTATTTCAGATCGCTCTAGATATCGCGCGCTCTTCCGCTTAATGATGCTTTCGTAACTTCATGTATTAATAAATTCTCACGAGTCATCTCTCCGTCATCCCTTCCGCTCGGCCGACCACTGTGTATTTCTCCGCGGAGCGACAGCGAGAGGAGCCGGGGAAGGGGAAGGCGAGAGATTTCACGCTAGACCGACGACACGAGGACGAACTTTCAGTTATCTCACAGCGATAAAAGTCGAAAGTCGCGCGCGCGTGCGTGCGTCGCGGGCGGCGCGGCCGCCAGTCGTCGCGAGTAGCCGTCGTCGTCGAGAGCCGGCTAATCGAACGACTTCGAACGATTCCACGTCGCTCGCCGTCGCATTAACGACGGGAGAACCCGGAAACTTTGGTCCTGACCTCCTCTTCGCCCCATCACTGTCGCTTCCGCTTTCTCGGCGGGGATCGCGTCGTTACACCCGAGAGGCTCGCGGACTATTCTCGCGGCGATAAGCAAGGTCGTTCCGCACAAACTGGATGCCATCCCGCCGCGGAGGCAATAGTAATACTTCCAGCAAACCGCCGGCCGTCGCGCGGCCGACGACCGGGATCGTTTCGGTGTCCGATCAGCAGGCGTACGAGCCGTCGACGACGTCGACGTGGTCGTCGCGCCGAATGCCCTGCCGTAAGGGCGCAGGAAGTCGCGACGGGACTTTAGATAGTCCTAATGGAGAAAGAGACGTTACACGCGCGCGGGGACGTCTGCCTCGCGTTATTAAGGGGGTGCGATGAAAAAGAAAGGGAGGAGGAGAGAGACCCAGAAACAGCTTGGTGGGCTCGCGACCGCGAGGTATACACTTGCGGCTGCTGCATGCGCGCGTATGCGAGACATCCTGGAGAAGGGATGCCGAAAAGGGGTGCCGAAAAGGGGGTGATGGCGGCGGCGGTGACGGCGGCGACGGCGAAGATTCGCGTAGAATCCTGATGGCTAAGTGGTTATCTTATCTTAACGGCCGTGCCGCAGCATCTCGCCAGTCTGCCATCCTCTAACGCTCCCTAAACGGAAATTAACACCCGTCCTACGCCCTCGCGACCCCCTACACGATCCGCCTCTTCCCCGTTCCGCTGCGAACAGTCAACCCTGAGCGCCCCTGCGGCAACGCAAAAATCAATGGATATTATATCGCGCGACTCCGCCTGGTGGAGAGGGCGCATTTCGTCGCGTTTCTCCTACACGTGTGTTCTCAACCCCCTCCACCACCGCCACCTTCTCTTCTACGATCACCCGCGAGCTTCCTTATCGCTGAATGTCGCGACGAAGCGGAGCCGCGATACGAGCAACAACCTCGCGCCCCGCGATATCTGGAAAAGAAATAGGGGACGACAGAGGAAGGGAGGGAGAAAAATCCGGCGGCCGGATTGTTTGTTATAATAAAATTCTTAATTTCCTGTAAGGGTGGCGCGAGAGAGAGAGAGAGAGAGAGAGAGAAGGAAGCAAAGAGAGAAAAAGAGAAAGGGGGGGGGCAATGATGGCATGTCGAGCACGATCGCTTGGCCGGCCGGACGACGGCCTCGCGCACGGCCTCGTGAAAAGCTCCGAGATAAAGGCGTCGAGAGGAAGTGACGCGAGATAAGGGCTTTACGGGCGGGGTACCGGCTGTGGTTTTACGTCCGCGTCTCAGACGGCGGCCGCGCCGCCATGACGAATCCCGCTAATGGAGAAACGCAAATGCTACGGCCGTCGCGAACGGCGTTTCGTAGAGCAACGACGGCGACGACGTCATCGTCGAGCACGACGACGACGGCGAGGACGACGCCGGTAATACCGGGCTGTGTTTCGGCGACGGTGCTAGCTAGTTCTCTGTCTCTTTCTTTGCCCCTCTCTCTCTCTCTCTCTCTCTCTTGGCTCGAGGTATTCGGGAAATTCGAGGCGGTGCAGTTTTCAGCAGGGCGCTCTCGGCGCCTCTTTAACCGCGTTGCGTCGCGAGGTCAAAAAGCCGAATTCCCGGCCGTGAAAGCGGCGTGATATATTGGCCGGGACGCGCTGAGATCTTGTTCCTATCCGCCGGTTTTCTTGCTGCAGCGCGAGCATGCTATTTACGTTCCCGAGATGAGTCTAATATATCGCGCGTGAACGCCTGGGCGCGCGCGCCCCCCTCTCTCCGAGAGAAAACACATCGATAATTGCGCCTATAGCGGCCGAGTATCGCGTGGTATCGGCGTGAACGCTTTGCGATGGAACGAGCCAAATGCATTTTCGCGAACCGAGTGTGAGCACGTGGTTAATTACACAGCCCTACAAAAAAAAAAAAGTGGTCGGTGCCTAAAAGCGGACAAGTATATTCTTATGTATTTTGATCCGCTGAATCCGAATCCGAGGTCAGAATTGGACAATTGCTAGCTTTATCGTCCCTAACCTCAAGAAACTGATCGTAACTTCACTTAACAAAATTCAGCTGTATGTGATTGAATTCAGCTTAAAAAATGCTACAATTCTTGTCATTACAAAAATTTTTAATTTGCAAAAATAAAGATAGTAGGAGGGGGATATAAAAAAATATAATATTTTTGAGAAATCTAACTATACATTTGTAAGGAGCATCAAAAACCATACAACTTTTATCTGAAATATCTTTTTGTGTCTTTTATAATTTTTGAAATACACTCTCTGAAAACCAGGTATATCAATATACCTTGCAAGGATGATTTTAAATAATCTAAATATGAAATTGGGCACGTATAAAAAAATACGTGTCTCTTATTTTTTTGTTTGGGGTTTGCTTATTTTAGGCACCGACCACTCTTTTTTTGTGGAACTGTGTTATGAATCTGACTTGAGTCGGATTCGACAAGTTTAATCTCGATGACTTCGTAACGACAAAACTCTTCGATGAGGTAACGAGGAGAGTAACGCTTTTACTCTTTATTATCGCCGAAAAAAATGTAATTGCTTTACCGATATTAATGAGAAGAAAAAGAAAAACATCGTTACGAAATGGTTGCTCGAAGCAAGGTAACTCCTAACGTTGCTTCAACAATTCGAGCGTTAGTTTCGACAATATCGACACTGAACCGACAAGATTTCCTCCAATCGTGTCGCCGTTGACGATTTCTCCGCACAGAGAAAATATTGCGGTAAAAATGACGAGGCAACTTTTGCGATCTTTAATCACACAAAAACGTGTCCGAGAAGCTTTATTTAAAAATGTCACGTGTGCGTTCAACTTTCTGCCGCACAATATTGCAGTCGAGTGTTTGTTTGCTTTGTCGCTTGATATTCCTGTAGCAATCTCCATCGATTCAGTGCGGCTTTACAAAAATATAACCCTAACGTAACTTTTGCCGCGGTATCTTCTCCGTGCATCGATGCAACAGGAAATGCGACAGCGTTTCCTCCCGTGCACGCAACAAACACCTTCTTCGCCTCAATCATACGTGCGAAGCACGCACACGTCGTCCAATTTTGTCCTTTTAACCCCCCATCTTCTTCAGCGCTTAAGCGAACGGTGTCCCTCGGTGGGCGCTCGATAAATAACGCATCTATCTATCTGCCTATCTGTCTGTCTCACTCACCAGAATATTCATAGCCGACGAAGCAGGGATGCACAAAGCGCGCCGGTCTCAGGGGGCTGCGCGCGCGTCTGGTTATTGTACGACGCGGCCGGCTGGCCTACTGACTGCTACTACTACTGCCATACTATGTATCGCCGATCGCGTAATTTTATTTTACGGCACTCGGTACGCTGTCGTACAATAAACAGACGATGGGCCGACACGGCCGGGGCGGGACGGGACGTGGTGGGACACGGACTTATTTTTATCATCGACGGCGAGGATAACGTCGGCAAACGACTCCCTCGTCGAGACCCCGTAAACTCGCACCGTAAACAGCCATCTCGGAACGATTCAAATTTCGATATCTCGAGGGCGCGGGATACGTGCGTGCGGAACGGGTAGGGGGAATCCTAAAGAAAAGATTGCCAAAACTCGGCGAAAGAAGTAACGGATATGGTAACGACACGTTATTTCTTGAGCAACGGTAACGGTAACGAGTCTCTTTTTTCGACGGGTAACGGTAACGAGTTACATTCCCAGAGCAAAATCTGTGCAGAGCTCTCTGCGATAGGAGATTGTATCGACTCGATTTTTTCGGAATGCGGGGAAAACAGTCTGACCGGACATCAGCAGGAATTCTATTTTATACAGAGAAAATTATTATACATTGCATTCAAATAAATGTTACTTGCTTCAAGATTTGTTTCCAGATTTGTGTATCGGCAAATCAAACATGAGTTCACCAAGCATATCAACTTTACTCAAAATACATTTTGAATCCTACAAGTTTAATACTTAGAAAAAAAAAAAACGTCAAAAATATTAAATTGAAACAAAAATTCAAGATTGTTTCCTATACAGAGAATATAAATTCCCTGAGCTTTCCTCAGATTCGTGATGAGTACATTTCAAGACTATAATGAAAAAAAAAGAAACAATATTCCTTGAAGATAACCATTGCTGAGAAGAAGGAAAGCGAACTTTTCTCAGCAACAGAATATTTTTCTCTGTATATAATTCGCGAAAAAGAAAAAAGTGAAAGAGAAGCGAGAGTGAAACGAAAAGCGATACATCGCCTTCAACGGTACGATATACGCGTGCATAAATGTCAGCTGCATTAAGGATAACGCTCGATATTTGACCGCAGGTCTCCGTGCAGGAGGACGGCGAGGACAAGGGACCAATTTGCCCCCCGCTTCCGGCGCAGTACCATCCGGCCGCCTACAGCACGACGACGCCGCAGTTGCACAAAACTGTCACGGATTACGCCGGTTAGTAGCGACATTAAAAGAGCGCTCACATGTTCGAATCGCCGTAGATCGGCGCTTGTGGGCGGAATCGCCGGTCGTTAGAGTTTGCTCGCTCGCGAGTACACGCGCAACACCGCGAGGATGTCGACGATCGCCCAACTTGAGACGACCGCCGACGAAGGCCGACTTTCCCTTCGCGACCGTCGAAATGAAATTCTCTGCCACTCGGATTGTCCTCGGACGCTTCTCTTTATCTTTCGATCTGCAAGATCCCGACGATGATGTCGCGCACGTTGCATTTATCCTCATGCTCTGGCAGTTAACTAATGCAACGCGACTCCTTTATGGCGATATACTCGCATCGAGCGCAATATTGATGTGTGAAAATACGTTTGAGATACCGGCTGGAACGCGAAATGTTGCATCAGAGGTAAATCAGATGTAAAGTCGCAAAGAGTCAACTTTTAGACTGCGCGCACCATTGATGCCGTAGCGCGCGCGTATGTTTCGCTTCTCCATTATGTTATTGCATCTTTCCTGCGCTTTTTCACGTATATGCATTTTCCAGCACTGCGAAGTTATTCCGAAAGAATTTGTTGTACGTATCAGTCTCTCTATTCTTTTGTGTTTGACTTAGTGTGTCTCTTCTTCACATTGTATTTTTGCGTGTTGCAACTGGCTCGGTATCTTATTTTGCGAACTATACGCGATTACTGCTTCGACAAAATTTGCTCTCTATATAATAATAATAAAGTAGATTCCCGATTCGATTTTCCTACTTTTTTATCTCCGTATATATTTTTAAAATTTGTATCTTGGTGAGATTATCGCTTGCACTCCCAATGCACACAATTCTCGTTTATGTGCACGTAGAAAATATGATGATGATGAAAATTACCTCATAATTAAAATTACATTTTCTTTTACCGTGTTCTTATCATTAAGCCGTATCGATACTGCGATGCGAATGAATACGGAAACGGCAAACAACAAGAAGAAGCGAAACAAGACGTTCCTACCAATTACAATATTTTACGATAACATTTTCACCCAAATATATAATTTCGGTCATACTTCTGCTTTCTGGTCCGCTGCAACTTTTACTGCCATATCTTCCTCGTGCATTTTCGCCGAGTCTCCGTTTCCGCTTTCTCACGAGTTTTAGCGATAACACGCGAATTAATCTGCTCATTCCCGAAATAGCGCGCGCTCCGGAACATCCTTTCCGCAGGGCCGACCTCGTCGGCCGTGTCTCGCGACGATCGACCCATCGTGAATCAGAGAGATCCCGCGGAATCAATCGACCGGCTCTCAGTCTCCCCTCTCCCTTCTCTCTCCCTCGGATATCAGAAGCCGATCGGCGTCCCGGTTACATCCAATCTCTGCCGAAGACGTTTTCACTTCCGTGCCGTCCGACGCGCGACTCCGATACTCCCGCATCGACACCAGGATAGTTTCGTGTTATCGCCGCGGGAATTCTAACGGTCCGTCCCAGGGCTGACGAGGTCGGGCGCGGAGGCGGGGTGGAGGGAGGGAGGGAGGGAGGGGGGCCAGGAGGGAGAGCGAGGTTTCGAATCTCTGCACCTGGTTTGCACCGCGGCCGCACCGCACGTAGTTGGAATAGTCGGGCGAACTATTCCGCTGCGTCTCCCCGTAGTTGGCACAGCTTGCCGGACACGGCGCGACCGGCGCGGGCGGAGAGGTGGGGGGGAGGGGGGAGAGGGTTTCTACAGAGAAACTGTTTGCCGTGCCGCGACCTTGTTTAATCGAATTAGACGGGGGTCTTTGATTAATTAACTATCGGCAGCGACAGCCCGTCCGCCCACCCACCCCCGTCTAACTACCCCGTTGGACTCTCACGTCCGCCGCGGAGTCTCTTTCCGGTCGCGATATCGCGTCGAACGTCGGACGCAACTGTCGCGCGCGCTCCCGCGAGCCGCGGATGACGGAGAGAACCGGTGCACACGCCTCGATGACAACGTGATATATCGAAACGGATGTGACACGCCCCCCGCTTCCCCCCGGGTTGCGGTCGGGTCGCGAGATCGCCGTTCGCCCGTCGACATGGAGAACAGGAGAACCGAGCGGGCTCTTTTGTTTTAATTGAACGGACTTACGGGGATAGTGACTCGCGCGCGAGGTGTCGCTTGCGAGTACCTAATTGATCGTTGCAGTTGATTGGTCGGTTACTTCTTTACCGTTAGTTTCGACTGTCACGGTTAGGTCGTTAGAGTTGATTGTTACAGTGCGATCGAGCGTTGAAGCGTCCGTCGAGCGGAATTCTCTAAGAGCAACCCGAGCGCCTCGGTCGTAGATTCAGTGGCAATCCTCTTCAGTGGCAATATGAACAATGCGCTTATTAGAAACTTTGGGTTTTAGAAGCTCAAGGAGCTCGAAACTATGATCGCGGCGGAGCACAATTCGATACTGAACGCCGGATTAAGCCAGGATAATGATTATAATCAGTTCAATAGCGATGGAAAGGAATATAAGAACAAAGAAAGGTATATGACCGTAACTCGATAATATCCTAACAATTATAATGATCAACACAACAATTAACTCGACATTCGCTCGCGACTGACAACGTTTTACGTCGGCTCTCGTCGGCTCTCGTCGGCTCGTTTGACAGAAAGAGAGGAAGAAAGAACGAAAAGAAAACCGAAAGAAGACCGGCCGGCGCCGAAATCTCGCGCGCGTTTCTAACTCGCTCGAATTTTCTTCTCGATCCCGCCGCGGGACAGGAGGGATCGGCGAGGTGCAGCCGGTTATTCCGCTCCTGCTCAACTCGGCGATCAATCTCGCCCGGCCAATTCCGGCGGTCCAAGAATACCCGTCTAACCCGCCGCCCATACCACCGCCGCCGGAGAAGTATTACACCAATACGGAGATCTGCAAGGTGAGTCGCGCAAAAATGTACGCTAGACATGCGATCGGCGCGCCGATTAAGCGCCTTGCGCCCCGTACGTGTACTTTGCGCGGAGGACGGTGAGGGACGGAGGGAGGAGAGGAGGTAAGAAAGGGGCAGAAGAAAAGGGGGCATTAATGCCGTGCCGCTGCTACCGCACTCGCGCGAAACTGTGTCAAACGCCGCCTCGTGACCGTCGAATCTCCGTCACGATCGCCCCGCTCGAGGGAGACGGCGACGGCAGCGGCCGGTTTTCGCAAGGTTGCCGCCGTCTCGGGGCTTTATGTAAATCCACCGAGGTTAATTCGAATATTATACCGCTTGGCTTTTTTCAATTTTCCTTCTCTACGGTCTCGTTCCTCCCGCGGCCTGAATCGCCGCCGTGCGTGTACGCATGTGTGGCTTTTGTCGCATGCGACCGTGCAAATGAGCGCGATTGTCGTTGCAGCGGGAGATCGCCAGCCTCGATCGACTGCACTCGATGCTCTGAGAGAAAGATTGAGAAAAAAAGACAGAAAAAGACAATGATCTGAGATACTGTGCCGTGAGAATGGAGTTTTGCGTCGGGATGCATATGTGTGTGTGTGTGTGTGTGTGGTTTCGTTGTGTTCGTCGCGATAACGATCGCTCGCCACGTGAAGTAAATTTTAATAGCACCCTCATGCATACATATACAGGGTAGCCCATAATATACGCTCATTATTTACACAGCTCATTATTTACACAGTTGTTCCTCGTAAGAATTTGAAAATCTTTTCCTCCGGCGGAAATATCAAGGAAAGTCATTATTTATAGTGTCACTTTTCAATTTTTAATGTAACAAATCGTGGAGAAGCGAAGTCTCGGATTAAGATTCTGCTAAAGTGAAGAGGAATCACTTGGAATTGGAGAAAATACTTTCGTTGCTCGTTTGGCTGTCCGAAATTCAACTGGCGAAAAGACCTATTTTTTTTCACTCGCTTATATCTCAATCTCGATATTTTTGCTAAGAAAGCAAGAGGACATTTTCATAAAAATGGCGCTATGTGAATAGTGAGCGCAAATTATAGAGGCGCCCTGTCCGAAAAAAAATTATATATATATATATATATATATATGCATGTGTACATCGCCGCTAACCCCGTTTTCAACAGGGGCCTGTTTATCCAACACACAATATGCACGACGCAAAATACTTCATCCTGTGAATTATGAGGATTAATGACCGAAAAACGAGGAAACAACGGGCGCGCTATCAATCATCACTACCCGCGAAGAAAACGTCTTTCGCGGCCGTACACAGATTATAGAGCGATAATGCGAAGGGCGTGGTTATTGATTACGGACCCGCGTGCATGTGGATTTTCGTTTGATTAGATTGTTAGAACGGCTGCTCGTGCGCCGGTCAGCGATATGAAACCGCAGAAAGGATCGCGTTTTACGCCCTGTAATCATATAACATGTTTGTTCTTTTCGTGTTTAATAAAACGTTTTTATTTACATGCATCTGCAATTCGTGTTTTTCCGAAAATAGAGCTGTACCGGCAAATCAACCCCTTC